ATCATCATTATTATTATCATCATCATCATCGCCATCATTATCATCAGTATTATCATTCACATATATATTTTTGTATTCTTACTTAGTTTTTATATCATTATGTAAGTTTTTTATAATGTTTATTAATATTTTCGTTTTTGATTCAAATCTATAGGCATTAATATTATTTGTTACTTTATCATATATTTTTTTCAACACAACGAATTAACAGATTTTCTTCCAGTAGCATAACACGACATTGTTTTTACAAATTTTCCTATAAATTTCACCATACTCTGTTTGAGAATTTGCAAATTTACTTTCGCAAACTCTCCATCAACTATTGGCAAACTCTGTTCATGGAAACTGCTGCCCAAACTCAGTCCCTTTCATTGCTGTGCAGTATACCGGTCGTGATTCCTCTGCCCTATGGTGAGAGCTGTTAAAGTTTTTCGTTGCTTTATGTCAGTTACCCATCTAAGAGTTGGGTCGTTTTCTCTTCTTTTTTTTCTTTTTTTTTTGGGGGGGGTATGCTGAAGAGGGAAAGGAAACACTTTTTTTGTTTTTATCTACCTTTTTTATCTTTTTTTTTATTTTTGTTTGTTCATTGCCTCTTTTCGCTTCCCTCTTCTTCGTCTTCTTCTTCTCACTCCTTTTGCTCTCTCGTTCCATAACCCACGTGTTCTTCGTAAAATGTTCATTTCTACCAAACCCTTCTCCCGTTCACATCAACCAACGAGGCCTTTCAAGGTTGGTGAAGCGCGGGTGGGTGGGTGGGGGGGGGGGGTAGGTATAAGAGGATAGGGGGGCAGGGAGGAGGAGGAGATCCTTTTCAATGACACCCACTACCCTTAACCCCCCCCCCATCTCCTCCTCCTCCTCCTCCTCCTCCTCCTCCTCCTTCTCTTCCCCCTCCTCTTGCTCCTCTCCAACCAACTTTTTTTATCTCTTTCTTTGCCCGGGTTAGAGAGAATCTAATTTTAGGTCACTGGGTGTCGACCTTTTTACCAAAATAGAAGTCTTTTCGGGGCAAAATAATTAATTATTTGGCGTAGGAGGTGAATGAAGCGGTAGCCAATAATATGGAACGAGAGGGATAGGAAAATAAAGTGTTTTATTTTTCAAACGCAAATCCTTTGATACATTAGGACCTCAGATTATGAAAGAGAAGAACAAAAAATACCAGATAGATAGATATACAAACATACGTATAACAAGGTAGGCGTTTAAATAGGTATCGACAAGAATACATCGCACAAAATAGCTAGTAAGATTATTCTTTCTCGCTTCTTTATCTACATTTTTGTCTTGCATCTACCCATTTTATCTCTCTCTCTCTCTCTCTCTCTCTCTCTCTCTCTCTCTCTCTCTCTCTCTCTCTCTCTCTCTCTCTCTCTCTCTCTCTCTCTCTCTCTCTCTCTCTCTCTCTCTCTCTCTTTCTCTCAATCTGTCTCTCACCATGTTCTCTCTCTGTTCTTATAATCAAGTTCTGAAATTCTCGTCGTCGCTAAACTAAGTATGCGATCAGTCTGTATAACTCTACGGAAACGTTGCGCCATATTTCA